CCGTGGGCATTACGGCTGCATAATGACCGCTCAGATCTCGCTCTTAGCCAATCAGAGCGCGCGTTATATCGGCCACAAGCCAAAGCCATATAATAAAGTACTGAATAATGAATGGCGTCTTGTTGTGGAAATCCGCACTTGTTAGTAACAGGTAGCTTGGACAACCAATACTTATAATTTTTGATTGGAACTTAAATTAATCGATACTTCCTACTTAAGAGCCACTATCTCACAGGGATTTCAGTCCTGCATTTTTTGGACAGAACGGTACTGTAAATCTAACTAGGTATGGATATAAATGTTTGTTTTACTCATGACTTTGTATCTTTACAGTGTGTAACAAGAGAGTCAACAGGCTAATTTTCCGCGGGGGGAATCCCATATAAAAAGGACGGGGGTGCTCGTCGGAAGTTTTGAAATGAACCCCTAAGAGGTACTAAGATCCTGTTTTGTGGGCGTGGCTTAAAATGTTTTCAACTAATTCTAAAGCAACACATTATCTCCTTTTTCGGCTCAATACTCTAAAAGGTGTCGCAAAAGCTCCCGCTGTGGACCTTTTGAGGCTGAATACCGACAAGAGAAAATTTTCTCTTGACACCGAGGTGTGCCAACACCGGCTTTTTAACCCCTAAAAGGTACGAAGAGCACCCCCGTCCGCTTTTTATAAGAGAGTCCCCCCGGGTTAATTTAAGAGCTGGCCGAGCCGCTGTAAGGTAGTAATCGCTACAGTAAGAATTAAAATTGGGCCGGATATTTAAAATAGATTAAAAAAAGGAACATTTTTGGCACCGTTATAACGCAAGCTGTATCAATAAACATCGACTTAGAAATGTTAACGATTTAACTACCTCCAGATACCTAATAAAACAGGAAGACTGAGATTAAAGCGTTAATCCTTCATTTTAACAGGTTTATTTTATCAGGTTTATTTTATCATGCAAGCTCTTTGAATCCGGCTAAAAGTATTAATCTCTGTCACTTTTAGGCTGCCGCGTCACGTACTCATTCAGTTTAGTAGTCCCCAGACCTGGAAAAATGAGGTAAACCCGAAACAGAGATGGTGTGTGATGTAGGGGAAAATTAACCAGGTCTCGAAATAGACTTTCCGAGTATTTTATGAGTTTCAAGGAACAGATACCCAGCAGGTTTTTTGGTCAAATTTGAAGAACATAGATTTGCTGTGAGGCGAGGAATTTAATTTTTCATACAAATGTCTCGAAATTTTCCCGCGAAATGCGACGCGGTTTTACAGAAAATGTATGGAAAAATGAAAACCGTTACTGCGTCTTTTCTAGCGAGGCTTGTTCCCTCAAATGCGATCAGTAAATTAGTTTCCCTAGTATCTTTAGTTTTCAAGTTTTTTCCTTGAATTGTTAAACCTTAGATCCGCCATTTTCTGTAGTTTTTACCATGTTTACCCCCAAATGATCGAGATGGCGTCAGAAACTGTGAAAGGGTCTTCAAATTTCACGCTTAATTCTGTACAAACTTAAGTTATTTTTCTTGAAAAATATTTTCCGACATCGATAAAAATGAAGTTATAAGGCATGCTTTGCTTTCGATATGCCTTTCCAGTTTGTGACGCTACTTGTGTCCGTGCGAAATTTTTATAGAAGCTCCTTGATAAGTTATGTAACATTTAAAATTTCTCGTTTTCCCAAACTCGCTGGACAGGTTCCAATTCATAATTGAAAGGAGATGTTTAGGATTTGCCAACATTGAAGTTGATATCTTCCGGTCAGTTACTGATCAACGCAGATTTTCGTGCTTTTAATTGCAATATCGCCTGAGTAAACAAACTTCTCTGCCTGCGCGTTATATTTTTCCTATGCGTGAGAGTCGATCATCATTGATGACGTAATTTTAAAAAGCCAGTGATCTAACGTTTGATTGATTGTTTAATCTACGCGCCAGCCAATCAACGAGACCTTTGTTGAGTTATGTTTTCAGCAATGTTTTCTTCTCAAACTTCTTTCCCTGGAAGAATTGGACTGAGCGCTCGATGATCGACGCCTTTTTACCCGGCTCAGGCTAATTCTAATATCAATTCGTTGTCTGGATTCAACAGACTCAAATATTTTGCAGTCATTACAATTACTTGACCTTGAGTCTTGAGCTGTAAACTATTTGCTTTCGATTCGCTGCGGTTTAAAAATATTAAGCCATTTAAATCCAGGATAGAGATTGACACCTGTCCGCGATTTTGATGATATCTTTTAGACTGTTATATTTCAAATGGGTTCCACCTTCCCCGGGCCCGAAGAAGTACAAGATGTAGATCAAGGCCGTTTTGTGTAGAAGAGTACATTCAGTAAATTCATTTTGAAAATATGAAAGAGACTCTTTAACATTTAGTCTGCAGTTAAGTCTTTGTACTGAGGTCTTCGTTTCACAAATTAGACACAATGAAGAGAAACTATATTCTTACTATCAAGGCAATTTTTCTGCTTGTTTTACGTCAAAACAGTTCTAAAATGTTTTTCTCAAACACCAACTGTCAAATGAGTGAACTGTTAAAGGGAGAGCAACCTGTAAACAGTTTTGAGCATTCTTTTTCCACATCACAACCGGCTTTGGAAAACCCTGCCAAACGTTTCCAGTACGTCACAACGACATCACAACTAACCTTAGGCACAGCTACAGGGATGTCTACAGTGCATGTTATTTAATATATAGTAAATGTTAACAAAACCAGACTACATTTAGTTGGCTTCCATTGATCATCAAAAATATGTTTTTTGTGGGTTATGAATTTACCAAGTCCTGTTCATGATAGTGCCCTTTTAACCACGATTCCACAATCGCATCAAATCCTATTACGACACCGCCTTACTTTTACCTGTATTTATTACACCGTCTTATACTGTCACCCCTCGCACAGGGCACTTGAAAGCTCTTCACACTTCTTCTCTTGTATTCTTGAGGACTTCGCATTAAACGAGGCTCGTAGAACTTGCAGAAATGTCCTTTGTTGTTTGGATCAGAATTCGGATCGGCGAGCCTGTCTAATTCATCCAAGCTGCAATAAAGAAGGGACGATTTTCGCATTTGTTTGATCTAAAATAGGATTTCATTTCACAGGGAACATCTCATTCAAAGTTCATGAGATAATTCTACGCGTAAATAGGTTTGCGTTTAGAGAAAATATCCTGGTAGCGTCACCTGTTTAGGATTATTGTTAACCTTGAAAAAGAACTCTAATCTGAAGAAAAGCGCACATAGTCAAATCAAACTTGTTGGTTTTGGAGGAAAGTAAAGTTAGAACAACCAGGGAATTAGGAAAAAAGACTTTGGAACAAAGCAATAACGATGTCCATAGAAAAGAGAGCTGTTTTGTTTTTTAAGCGTGCGTAACACGGGGAAAAAAAGGGGGGATGGGGGACTGTCAGCCTGCTGGGTGACAGTAACAGTTGATGACGTTATTTATTACTGAGGTCAAATCAGTGCTGGAAATTGGAAGGTGACCAATTCTCAGAATTCATCGCTGTTAATTCTACAGCTAAAATTACATCTCAATGGAATGAACGATTTTTCTTTAAATATCTATATAGACAAGAAACTTTCCAAAAGTAGACTGACCCAAAGAAAGCCATGAATAGTTTCTTCATTTTGAAACGTGTCGTTTCGCTTATTTTTAGAAGAACAAGAATCAGGCAAACAAAGATGTTCCTTCAAACTCAAACTCCAGAAAGCAGAAATGTAAGATACTCAGGCAACCCGTCGCGACTTCTAGCTGGAAATTCCCACGACTCGCTCACTACACGTCTCTACCTGCTCAGATTAACTTGAATTATCTTGAACGCATTATCAGATAAGTTGATATGCGGAAATAGTTTTTTACGGGGATCAGTCGTTTTGTAAATACTTGTCGCGTCTGGATAAATATTTGCACGCACCGTGCAATTGGCCCTGTTAACCAAGATTAAATTAACAAAATCATCAATTGTTTCGTTTTTGGAGCTGGATGAAAAGTTTATTTTCTTCCTTCTCTAATCGATTGGTTAACCACAACAAGTTAAAAATTCTGCTATATTATGAGCGACTCTCTAAGTGCTTTTTGATTCAGCACTTGCAGAAGAGAATTGGTAAAGTGGTTGAAACATCAAATTATAAAAACAAATAAACAATTTAACCAAAATAGCATCAGTGGAATAAGGTATAAAAAAGTTCACTCGAACAGATTTCCAACCCTCTTTGTGTGTATTGCGTAAGAAACTACCTTTTTAAATCTAGTTTCGGCGTGTATAGCACAAGTTGGCAGAACAATACATGCACTTCATTTCGTGATCATTTCTCCAATGCTCATCACGGTATTATTGAGCTTGCGTCGAGAACGCTTTGAGAAATTAGTCCTGGATCAACTTTCAGACAGTACAGGTTTAATTTTGGAGGCGTGTCGCAAAACCGCAAGATTTAGCCAAAATTTAAGTTTTACAACTGTTATATTTTAGGATAAAAACTAGAGATAAAATCAAACGACGTTTCGGTCTCGCTGAGATCATTTTTTAACTTATAAAAAGATCCAATGTTCTTCTGAAAAATTTGCAAATAGAAATTCTTAAAAAAAAAGTTGGGATCAAGAGTGTAACCACAAAAATTCTTGCGCTACTTACAATCCTAGGACTTGCTCTTGTGACTGAGTTTCTCCGTAACCTGGCTCGACGAGTAACAGAACCAGCAACACACCACAAACCACAGGAAAAAAAGGCAAATCTTTCATGTTTTCTGACGCACAAGTTACCTTTTCTGCTCGAAAGGAATCGTCTACTTTCAAAACAATACTTGCTCAATCTTACGGCTTGTGAACTGAAGAATCGCCTTTCTCGGAAATTCACGGGTCCTTTTCCTAAAGTCTTAACTCGCCATCCCTGATTCTTTCCTAGCTGTGTATGAAATACGCTCTCGGAATACTGCTTGGAGTTTTTAAGTGCGATCGGATCTTTATACAGGCATTTCCTCTTTTCTTATTGGCACACGGAAACAATTTCGTTAATCCACACACTTGAGCTTTTTATCGGTTGAAGGGCTGAAAGCTATACATGACGTCACCCCTTCAAAGTTACAATAACAGTTCATTTTGTGGCATCGAAACAATCAGATTATTAAATAACTAATGAAATCTTATCACCTTCAACCCTAACAAATCATTTGTTTTTTGTTTCGGTTTGTGAAAGTACGAGAGTAATAGACTACGCAGTCTTATTTCAATTAATTAAACTAGCTTCTCAGACTACTTTCGTGCGTGCGCGGCCATATTTCCTTTACTCTTTCTTTCTCCTCTCAGGTCGACTGACTTGGAAACTGAAAGATTTCCACCTCTTTTATGATAGGATAGGCGTATTACTGATTCATATAGAGTATCTTTAGGAGACGGAAAGCAATAATCATAACAACAGATTTTCTTGGCGGGTGGAAAATTATCCTGCTGTGCGAAGTAGTTAAACTAACTATTTATTGCGGGGAACTGTTTATTGCGGGGAAAGAAAATTTTCTGTTTTTTCTTTCATTTTGAAACACAGACGGCGGTGAATGTAACGAAAGGATTGTAAAGAAAAGACGACTCAGACATTTAAGACCAATTCATTTCTTGAAGTCGAAAGACCGAAAAATAAATTCTTCCCACCGAGTGTTATACGTTTCTTTTAGAGCCAGTTTTGAGAACTTGTTAGTTCACCAAAACGAGCCAACAGACGTTTGACTTATTCCCCTCCATCTGGTCGACAAGCATGTCAGAGATTTAGCGGCAATGTGACGCAGGAGGAATCCGTATCGATACGTGCTTAGTCTCAGAAAAAAAAAAAAAAACAGGAAAGCTTGAGTAGAAGAGGTCTATGTGCAATCGAGATGCCATAATGCGGTAAATCGGGGAGGTGTGGGCTGAGGACATGAAACTGTTGTTGAAACGTGTTTCACCTGAGCACAGATTTTCTTTCCTGAGAGCGAGCCACATTTACATAAATAGCTTCAGGCCAAACGAAGTTTGCCATGCGGCCACCAAAGTTCGTCGCCTTGTCTCACGGTATTCACAAGTCACTTGAATTGTAATCCTTCACGAGTGCCCTCCATGTGAATGATTCTCGTCCCCAGAGCCGCCCATCACTCTTAACCGGCGGAGCTTACAGGGAGGAATTCTCCATGTGCTCACAGCAGAATTCGTGCACTTTGCCTGTGCCCCGGTACAACTTACAAGGTCTCGACCTTGTATTCGAGCACTAAGTGGAACTTAGGAACTTGGAGAACCCACTGTATAAACACGACATTGATTTGGGCCGGTGCCCTGGTACTAAGTGTGAACACAGCCTTGGTCCTAGAATCTAGCCAATCAAACGCGTGTCTTCAAAGTTTTTGTGCCAAGGCCCCGCCGCCTAACAGGGACAGGCGGTCCTGGGGACGAGAGTCTGGGAACCAGCTCCTTCGTCCCGAGGCGTTCTTGCATCTTGTCGAAAAGTCAAGTCAGGCAGCAGAGAGCGCGGGGATTGGTACCTACAATCATTAGCACACACACACCGGACGCAAATACAACTTCACTTGCCTAACCTCTGCAACCCCCCC